TAATGTTCCTTTTTTAAAAAAATAGAAGAAAATCTTTAAGGTCAACACAAAGAAAAAAATATCTGAAAAGACAAAAGGAAATCCTGACCTGAGGTTGGGGGGTAGAAGATTCCACACAAGGAAGTAAGAAAAGAACCACTGAAACATCAGAGCTAAGTGAAAATTATGAGACTCCTTTTGAAGGGTGGGGAGCAAGGGCACCAGAGGAAGAAGTAGCTGTTTACACTCCAAGGAATGATGATGGGGAGCCATAGATGGCATTAGGAGACAGGTCATACAAGATTGATTAGAAGTAAAGAAGGAGAGTGGAAGTAACTGTCTCTGTACCGTTTGTCTATTGTTGTTTTTGTTATGGTTGTTGAGTTGTTTCAGTCACGTCCAACTTTTGTGGCCCCTTTTGGAGTTTTCTTGGCAAAGAAAACTGGAGTGGTTTGCCATTTTCTTCTCCAGCTCATTTTACAGATGAGGAAACTGAGGCAAACTGGGTTAAGTGACTTGACCAGGGTCACACGGCTAGTAAGTAAGTGCTGAGGACAGATTTGAATTAAGGAAGATGAGTCTTCTCATTCCAAGTCTAGTACTCTATCTACTGTGCCACCCAGCTGCCCCATATTATATGACAATGATCTCTGTTGTCTTGGACCCCATCCTTAGAATCATGCTGGGCTATGTTAGGTAGCTTTCACCTTATCTTGCCCAGATCTAGGCCCTTCACCTCACTTTCTCTGCATCTCCAGACCATGAACTTGGACTCTGATCCTGAAACCACCAAGGGCTATGATAAGTGGGTTTTATCTTATCTTTCCAGGATCCAGTCCTTCCTTCCTTCCTTCCTTCCTTCCTTCCTTCCTTCCTTCCTTCCTTCCTTCCTTCCTTCCTTCCTTCCTTCCAGCCCATGTTGCCAGAAGTATTTCCCCCACACTCTCTTTTCCTATATACCCCCATTTCTACAACCCCTTTATGCGTTGTTTTTACTTCACTAGAATGTACGCTCCATGAAGCCAGGGATCGTTTTGATTGCATATGTGTGTATGTGTATACATTTGTGTTTGGTGTCAGATGTCAGCAGGATGATGTCAGAGGGATATAAGATGAGGAGAAACAACACAGAGGGAGCTATTGGTGAATGGCCTTTTTCTTTTTCAAAGTATAAGGAAAAATCCTACACTGAGAGTACAGGGGATAGGGTGTCATGAAAGGCTGGAGAAGAGGTGAGTAGATTAAGGACAGCCATTGTGGTCAATGGGATAGTGAACTGATTAGGGAGGACCTTGATGTACTGAGGGCCCAGTTGACACGAGACAGCATAAATTTGTAGTGGACCAGTCAGTGTTCTTCGTGATTTCTTCTAGCACCAATCAGCAGCATATTAGTAGGAGCAAAGGAAGAAGATGATGAAAATAATCCAGGGTTAGGATATAGCAAGGTGTGATGAGCAATCAAACAAAACAAGAAGAGATTTGAGTATAGAAGGCAAAGTCAAGTTGAATTCATTCACCAAGAGACTGTGATTGGGAAGGAAGGAGAACATAGAAAAGTACTGAGCAGTGAAGGTCATAGTGAGGACAGAGTGGAGTTAGGGGTAAGGCAAAAATAGCTAGAAAGATAAAAGATTATGATAGGATAGAGGAATTACTATAAACATCTCTTTAAATATGGTTTATTTTTTAAATCATGCCTTATACATACTTTAAAAATGTAAATTACCTAACGATTTCCTTGTGCAGCAACATTAGTTGTTAGACACGTCCCTCTTTTTCTTCCTCAATTGAATTATTTCAATTTATGATTTCATAAGTTCCTTCCTGAAAGTTTTGTATCCCTCCCTTGGGCTGACCTCTCTGTACAATTTTAGGCCATGGAATCCAACGTCTCCTTTCTTTAAACCCGTTGAAATCAACATTATTTTTAGCTTTCTTCTCTTTCCATCCTGAATTATAAAATGAAGTGCTGCTCATTTCCTCCTAAAGTTCCCATCATTTCTACTTTAGCAACAAATTCCTCCTTGTTGATCAGAATCAGGTGCTAAGATAATAGTTTTCCTCATTTGTTTCCTCATTATTAAGAAAAGCCAAGAATTTATGAGCTGCTCTACTTTTGGCATATGTAGACCCTAGCAGATGACTGGATCATAGAAGTCACTGAACGCTATTATATCACGTTTCTGATCCATTTCTTCTTTCTTTGAATGCCGTAGTACTCCTACATTAATACTGCATCTGTGTTTTCTCATGTCACCCAAATGCTGTCTCATTATGCTTCCTCCTTCTGGCTCCTGGATTTCCTCACATGAGCAGGCCTTTTTTTATTATTATTAATTTATTTTTAGTTTTCAACATTCACTTCCATAAGCTTTTGAGTTTTAAATTTTCTTCCCTTCCCTCTACCTGCCTCCCCAAGATGGTGTGCAATCTGATAAAGGCTCTACATATGCATTCCTATTAAACATATTTTCACATTAGTGATGTTGTAAAGAAGAATTAGAACCAATGGGAGAAAACACAAGAAAGAAGAAACAAAGCAAAACAGTAGGAAAAAAAAGAGCAAATAACATGCTTCGATCTGCATTCAAAATTCTGTAGTTCGTTCTTTGGATGTGGATAGCATTTTCCATCATGAGACTTTTGGAGATGTCTTAGATCCTTGCATTGCTGCACATTGTTTGATGACTAACTTTGATGAGCACGTCTTCTTAATAAGCAACACTATTCTGTACCTCCCCATCTCCTACTTTATCTCTTATCCACATCCAATCTGTTGCCAAGACCTGTTGATTTTACCTTTTCGACATCTCTGGAATATGCCCCCTTCTCTTCTCTGGTCTGCTATCACTCTGATGCAGGCAAGTATCACCTCCCGCCTTGATTATTGCGATCACTTATTGGTGGGTCTTCCTGCCTCAAGTCTCTCCCCAATATATTCTCCATTCAGTCACTAAGATGATTTTCCCCAAACACAGGGCAACTCTTGTCACAAGCCCCCCCGCCCCCCATTCAAAAAACTCCAGTGTCTTCCTTATTGCCTCTAGGATCAAATATAGAATGCTCTGTTTAGCATTCAAAGCCCTTGATAACCCCAGACCCACCTCTTTTACCCTTGTAGTGCTCTTCAACCTTACTCCCTGACATGTGCTCTTCAATTCGGTGACACTGGCCTTATGACTGATCTATGAACAAGATACACTGTCTCTCAGTTCTTGTATTTTCTCTGACTGTCCCTCATGGCTAGAATACTCTCCCTCTTTTGCTCGGCCTATTATCTTCCTTGGCTTCCTTTAAGGACCAATTAAAATCTCACCTTCTACAGGAAGCTTTTCCCAACCCTTCTTTATTCTAATGCCTTCCCTTTGTTAATTATTTCCTATTGATGCTATAGATAAGCTTGCTTTGCCCATATTTGCTTGCTTGTTGAATCCCCCGTTACATTGTAAGTTCCTTGAGAACTCAGAGTGTCTTTTGCCTCTTTTTGTATCCCCAGTGCTTAGCACAGTGCCTGGCATATAGCAAGCACTTAATAAATGTTTATTGATTGATTGATTGATTGATTGAAGTGTTCAGTGGGCCTTCCCTATCTTTTTTTCTTCGTCTTTCAACTTCTGCATCAATCAGGATTTCCTTCCTATCCTATTCCTTCTTTATTATGACCTTCAAGACTTTAATCTATTTTATTTTTTAAAAAGTTTTCATTCTTATTTGTAACATGAAGAGATGGGCATTATTCTGACTCTTCTAGAATGCAGATTAACTTGTATGTTCCTACTGGTACACTTTATTTTTGTTAGTCACTGTAATCAAGGCTTAAAAAATAACAGAGATTGTATATTCTCCTTTCCTAGATATCATCCTGTCTCTCAGTGACAGTCTTGCCTAGGGGAAAGGGCATATTGAGAAGATCTCTAGATATTCCTTCCAGGAATCCAATTCAAAGATCAAACGCGGGCTGGCATAGTTAGAACTTTGAGGAGGGAGAAGCTGAAATTGAAAAGGCAGGAAGAAATATACAAAGGATATTAAAGGGAGAAGTACAGATAACACCATAAACAATTTTTACTCTTTCTATTCCATAAGTTTCTACTGTCTCACTATGCCCTTTTCTTTTGCCCTTCTCCACTATTTGCCCAAAGCTATTTGCAAATTCGAGTCAGGAACCCAATAAACAAAGAGAATGGGTCAGAGGAGCCACTGCTGCCTGGAACACAGCCTACATTACACTTACAAAAATTTCATTTGCTGGAGCAAATATTTTGATTCCAACATTTTTGGGTCATATTAGGATCAGGAACTGGGGTGGATGACAACAAGCTGTTTGCCTAAAAAAATGTCCCAAGTCTGAATTGGCATGTACTCATCATGTTTCCTGATGTTAAAATAGAAACTTGTTTTGCTCACAGAAAATAACTTGAAATCAAAGTCATTTGTGTTGAAATCATTTATTTTCTTATTCACAGGGAAAATTCCTCTTCTTAGACAAAATGAGAGATAAGGAAGGTAAAATTATCCAGCAACAGGTTTTTTTTTCAGATTTTGCAAAGTCTTGGGAATCTCAAAACACTTGTTTTTGTTTTTTAATTTACAGAAACATTCCAAATGAAATAGAGTTTCTATTACTGCCTTTGGAATTTGTGAGATTATAGACTGTGTTTTGGTACTTTTTGAATGGGGGGGAATATGGAAATCTTCCACCCTTTCAATAATAAAATGATAATGAAGATGCTACACGATTCATCTTTGGTCAGTATGTGCCCCTGGCAGGAAGAGATACTCTCGTCCAGTCTTCTTCATGTACATGAAGCTAAGTTGAACAAGCTCAAAACAATCCAATAGGACGGTACTCAAACCTCTATTAGAAGGCTTGGTATTTTATTTCCTTTGGGAGAAAAAATGAGCCAAGCCATAGCCCGGGGATAAGCGACTCCTGGAATATGCTCTCGCCGGTTCTGTTCAAGTCATGCAGACTTGAATGCATTCCCCGGATCCGCATTTTCGCCTGCTGATCCTGCTTTCTCCAAGACACACCCCTCCCGACTAGAACTCACCTGCACCAACCCCTTCTTCCAGGCTGTGCATACGGCGCATACCTCTCCCTGCTACTTGGCGGCTCCCCTCCCCTTCCTGGCTCACCATTAGCTTCAGCTTCCTCCTCATTTCATTAGGCTTCCACCTTTGCTTCCCATGTCCCAGTAGTTCACTCTCCCTGACCCCCTCAGTCCCCTGCAGAGCTTCCTCGCGCTCTGGGCTCTCCCGGAGATCCTGTGCGTGCTCCCCCTCGTTCTGAGCTCTCGGGGAGCAGGGAAGGAGGCCAGGCACACGCGTCGGCTCGCGCCCTTCCCCGCCCCTGTGGCGGCTCGTCTGCCCTCTCTCTCCTTATCCCTCCCTCCTTCTTTCCCTCCCCCCCTGCAGCGCCTCCCTCTCTCCAGGAGAGAACCGTAGAGGGGCTGCGGGCGCCTGGCCAGAGCGGTTCAGGCTGCTCTCCTCCACGCTTCTGTCCCCCGAGCTCCAGTAGCTGCGGGAGGGGGACCCCTTGCAGTTGGCAGCTTGGAGAGGGAGAAGGGCTGAGGAAAGAGCGTGCGTTTCTCGGCGGCCCCGCCAACTGTCAGCTCTGCTCCTCCCCTCCAACCTGTTCCCCTCGCTGCCGCTGCTGCTGCTGCTACCTCCTCTGCGTTGCTCTAGCCCCAACTAGTCTACACTCTCTCCAGACATGGATTTACTCCTGGCACTGGTGTTCGCGTCTTCGCTCTACCTGGAGGCTGCGTCGGAGTTCAATGGAAGGTAAGCCGAACCCCGTGGAAGGGAACGGCAGCTTTCAGGAGGCAGGGGACTGGGGCTGGGGGAGAAGTGTTTCTCGGCTCTCCACTTGGGTCAAGGAGACGTTTGTTAAAGCCTTGGCTGAGGTCGAGACCTGGTACAGACCCGAGCTGGGGAAAGAGAAATCCATGAAGTACCTTGTGGTAGTTTGCAAGCCTTTCTCACCAAAAGGACTGAAGGAACGAGACAGCCACCTGTGCGGGGCAAATAACTTGGTGGTCGGGTGGCGGCCGCGGGCTGCAAGGCGTCCGACCCTCCCTCGGTTACATCTCTTCCCCCGCCCCCATTTGGGAGAGGGGGAGAGATTATTGGCGAGGAAAGATCCCAGCCTGTGAGCTCTAACTAAAAAAAAAAGCCTATGCTTTCATCTCCTGTGTATGGGAGCGTTCCGAACAAGTAGATGCATCCCGGACCGTCTCGCTTCCCTAGGTCGCTAGTCTACTTTTCACGACTCTGTACCGTGCGAAGGGGAAACTTCTGAGTAGCCCCCAGTAAATCCCTCCCTGGCACTGTCAGAGTCCCAGGTACACTCGGACTAGCGGGGGAAGAGCCTGAGGGCTCTGGTGAAGATGCCGCGCTCTCTGGCCCTCTTTCTCCTCTTCTGGAGAGTTGGAGGCTGAAAGCATGTCCCGAAAATATGGGAGAAGGGACACTGTCTCCCTGGGGGAAAGAACCAGGGGTATGAGGTTGGGGCCGGGGAGTGTGTGTTGTGTACTTGAATAATGCGTGTTGCACCTAACAGGGACCCGACATCTGCGTGCTTTGACAGGTTTGAACAACTCTCCTCAGGCCGCGCGCTGTCACTCAGCTGGGGCGCACTGCTTCCTGCAGGCTGCGCCCTCCCTCCAGCGGGTCGGGAACAGCTGTCGGGCTCGCCCGCAGTTGAAGCCGCCGGGGAGCCCCTTCTTGACAGGGCCCGATCGGCGTGTGTTTGTGCGCGCGCCTAGTTAACTCCGGACAGCCGGCGAACAGATTAAGCCGCTGCTTGGATCTGTATTCCAGGTGAATCAGCTAAGGGTGTCTGGCGCCCTGGGCGCCTCTGAGAGGGTCACAGCCTCAGGGCTCCTCTTCTTAGGCTGGTTTAGCTGCTCCTGGAATTTGAACCCCGCCTCTTTACCCCCTTCCCTGCTTGCCCCCTAAAGAAACACTCCACACCTGGTTTACCTGTGCAGTCTTGGAAGGAACCTGTCACGCTGGGTTTGCTTTCTTGCTCCTACCGAGAAAGGAGGCGGACTGGGGTGGGGGTGGGGGTAGTTCAGAAGACTTGAAGGAAAAAAAAAGTGCAGCCACTTGGTCTATATTCATGGCCTAGGGAAATAGAAAGTTTGGGGGACTTTTTGGTGGGACAGTAAAGCGAACATTTCTAGCAGTAGAAATAGACTAAATATCTTCGTTCTGTTTTACTCCGCGTCCAATATAGACAATTTCAATGCAGTTTTTACACTTCCGATTCCAGTTAGGAATTTATCAAATACATATGTGCATGAAATCTTATGGACCCTTTAAAAAAAAAATCAGAAATAGGCATGACCATATATATACTTATACATATATACATGTATATGTATATATCTGAAAATCCCTTAAGTTTAGCTGGAGAAACCATTAACAACAACAACAAAAAAGTGTCCAAAGGAAGAGTGTATATAAAATGAAAATCAATCAATGAGCTGTGGCCTTCTGTTAAGTGCCTACTGTGTATCCTTACCTGTCAAAATATGATGAAATATTTTCAGTTTATTATTTTTAGCTTTGTACTACTAATAATAGCATCTTATAATAGTACATGACAGTTAAGAGTTTAGAGTTTTTTTTAATAAAGCTCTTTCATGTTCCTTATCTCATCTGATCCTTAGAACAGCTGGGCCAGATAAAGGAAGGGAAGTGCCTAAGTGCTTTACAAATGTTATTATCTCATTTGGTCCTCACAACCCTGGGAGGTACATACTGTTATTATCCCCCATTTTACAGTAGAGGAAACTGAGGCAGGCATAGGTTAAGTAACTCTGTCTCTCTTTCTCTGTGTCTGTCTGTCTGTCTGTCTGTCTCTCTCTCTCTCTCTCTCTCTCTCACACACACACACACACACACACACACACACACACAGTGTCTGAGGTTAGATTTGAACTCAGGTCTCCCTCACTCCAAGCCCTTTTGTAGAGAAGAAAACTGAGCCTCTTGGTTAGTAGATGGCTGGTAAGTAGGCAGAGCTAGGAAGACTCAAACTTAAGTCTTCAGACTCCTTTCCATTTATACTCTTAGGCAATCGTTCTACAACCTACTCTGTCACACTGCATAAAGGAAAACAGTAAAGATTATTGACAGAAAAGAGAATGTTCTGTTTCTTTCTAGCTAGTCAATTATCTCCAAGACAATTATGGTGAAAATTTTTGTAAACTTTTTTGTCTTGTTGCTAAGATTGAGCTTTTAAAAGGAATCTCTTCAAATCACTACTATCTTATTCTCACTATATCCAGGGTGGGGAAAGATAATCTTTCTTTTCTTCCCCCCCCCGCATTTATATAAGACAGAAAGTAAAGATTATTTTTATTCATTGCTTTGGCAGATTTATTATTGGTGTTTAATCGTTTATGTAGAATCAATCAAAGTCTTTAATTTTGTTTGTGATTGGTAATAGGTCATTAGGAACAAGGTTTAACCTATGACTTTGGGCACAGAGTATACAAGACTTTGTTTTAGCTTCTAGAGAGGGATTACCTCCTATTTGGAGTTTTTGCTGTGGGAGTTAGGTCATAATGAATATTACTGTGAAAGCAAGCTTAACTCTCATCCACCTGAAAGTTTGGTTTTTAAAATTTCCGTAGATGACAGGCTTGGCAGAGAGATATATGCTATATTATTTCTAAGAAATTCATGGAGCTATTTTTAATCTTCAAAATGTATTTATCTGGTTTTTCTTTTCTTCTTCCTTTTTCATAGGTGGCCCAGGCAAATAGTGTCCTCCATTGGACTATGCCGCTATGGCAGTAGAATTGATTGCTGCTGGGGCTGGGCTCGCCAGTCATGGGGACAGTGTCAGCGTGAGTATTGTCACCGCTGGGGCTTTTAGCCACCTGGGAGGAGGGGCTTTTCACAGTCATTAATGGCTTTCACTCTATACAGTGCTGGGCTTATTACTGAACAGGGCTTGGCACGTGCAGGTCTGATGTTTAAGTTTTCATGTACAGTCTCGGATTCCTTATCTTGCCCTTTCCCAACCTGACCTACCTTTGTTATGATGCCAATTCTGTTGTTCATAGAAAACCACCCAGGACTTCCCACTTAATTGTTTGTCCCTAATATTTCTAGCTTTTGCTTTCTCATCAAATTTGCTTCTCATTGCTCCAGGCTTCAAGATGGGGCAAGATAATGAGTCTAGACTGTATTTACATTAAATAAACCTTGAACCTGATGATTATGATACAGTATTTGCCTCAGCTGCTGTGTAATGTAAGGTGGCACATTTAGGAAAAAAACAAAAACAAAAACAACCATGTTCTTGAAGCCATGCAGTACAATCTGAATGGCTCACCCAACACAAATCAAATTTCATAGCAACTAAAAGAAATACCAATTCCAAGTTAATTCTATACTGTTAAATCAAAGCCATCTAATCTGTGTCTAGTCAAGATATTGGTTTCCCTTTTTCCATGATCATAAAAAAAATTATAGAAAGGTCAAATTTAAGATTATATCACACAAGCTGAGGAAGATCAAATTCAGGATTACAACATTATTCCTTTAATGTAAAATTTTTAAAGCTAGGAATCCCCACTCCATAAACCAAGCTATCTAAATGATGATCACAGAATTGTTCACCTGAGCACAGGGATCCCTAGACTATCTCCAAGACTTAAGAGGACTGGATTGGGCATGCCAACCCTGGAAATTTGTCAATGCCAGATTAGCATTTGGTAGCAAATGTGCTCTGTAGCTATAATTCAGAAGACAGATCAGTTAAAGGACTGAAAAGCAAGGAGGCCAGAATTAGAAAGGAAGGATCCCTTCTTAGAGGTATAGTGACAGTGAAGTATTAAAGCAAACTTTGTGCACAAAAGCTAGGTGTTTCCATAGCAATTTTAAGCTCTGGGATGGTTTCAACTTCGTGCCTTTATTAAGTCTTAGTGGAGAGAGACTGTGATGAGGCTTACTCATGCTGATGAGACTACTTATTTAGGCTTATTTTGTAGTATATTCAGGATATTTAAAGAGTAGGTGTGGCAAAGCAGTAATAATATTATGCCTTATCAACATGAAATAGAGGGGATGGTGACCGAAACAGAGAAAGGTGCTGGGGGATGTTTTGTGGCCTTCTAGCATAGGGCCAGATAAGAAAACTTCTTCTGCAAGGCTCTAACTCAGAGATGTTGACCTCAGAGGCACCCTATTTTGGCAAGAGGAGGGAGAGGGTGCTGGCAGCAACAAACTCTCCCTCTATTCCTGGGTGGCCAGCTGGTGCAGTTTCTCTCAAGGGGTGGCAATGATTTCCTGTTGCCCTGCTGATAGCTCCATTTCCAGGGAACTTCCATTGTGAATCCCAGTGGCAAATTGGATGAATATAGTTCCTCAGCTCCACCCAGAATAAGCAGCCACATTGGCAGGATGCCCAGGAGCAGGAGGGGAGAGAGCCTTACTCTGAGGCAGAGCGCCAGTGGGAAAGCAGAGGAGTTAGGAGTACATGTCGCTTTAGCTAAAATGTGCTGTTGGAGCATTCTAAGTGGAGAATGCCATGTGCCCCTTGTAGGGCTACCACATCCACAACAGAATGCCAGAGGTGGCATCTCCAGCTGTTCTACAATTCTTCTTTCCAATGTCCCTTTTCCCCTAACTTAGAATTTCTGCACTTGAATTATTTTCAAAGTCCTGTAACAATCACAATGACAATGTAAAGTTGAAGAATCCATGCTGGTTTTGAGCAAGTCTTTCTGTGATAATATTCTTAACAGCTATTGGGGACATGATAGCCCCTTATAAAAAAAATCTTTAGGAGCAGTCAGAAATTATATTCTAATTTTTATTAATTTTTCCATTGGAGATGTTAAAAAATTAGTCCTAAACAAGTTATCATAAGTATCATAGTAATGTAAGTTTGAGCTGGTGTTCCTCTGAGGTGCACCGTTAAGTAACAATCCATCACATGTCATGTTCTGGATGTCTGCCACATCTTCAGCTACAGTCTGCTCAGTATCTCTTCCATCCCTTTTGAAGTATTAGAAAAATGTCTGAGAGTAAGAATGTGGGTGGCCCACAAAAATAGCTGTAAGACCCTATCATGGTGCTAGGTAAATGGGTACAATTGGACTTCCACACCTTTTCATCCTCCATCCTTGTTCAGTTGCATGTGCATATATTTATTATCTTGATATTAGAGAACACAGTAATTTGTTCTACCTATTGATTAAAGAATTAAGAACATTGCTTTGAATATGAAACCCTTATGTAGCAATAATAATAGCCAGCATTTATGTAGTGCTATAAGGTTTGGAAAGCAGTTTATAAATATTATCTTATTTGATCCTCACAACAACCCTGGGATGTAAGTGCTATTATTATCCCCATTTTACGAAGGAGGAAACTGAGGCTAAGCGGGCTTCAGAGACTTGCCTGGTATCACACAGCTAAGTGGCTGAGGCCGGATTTGAACTTGGGTCTTCCTGATTTCATGTCTACTGCAGAGAGAAATAATTGTAGAAACTCAAGATATTGTAATATCTAGTACTTTTCACATTAAGGAATTATTCTTTTTTAAATGAGGCTCCAGTCATCTGTGAGTATTCCCTCCTACAGTGCAATTAGATCATAATTCATCTATGCCGATCTGTCCTGTTTGACTCTTCCATTCCTTTTTATAAATTCACTCTGTGGAGTCCATCCAAAGAGTTGTTGACTTTCCTCACATCTTTTGACATGATGGGGATAAAAGTGAATTATAGGCTTGTAGTTGTTAGAAGGGACCTTAGAAGCCATGAATCCAGTACCATCATTTTCACAGATAAGGAAATTTAACCAAGGTCACATAACGAATAAATAACTGAGGCAGCCACTTTCTTTGTTTGTTCACCCATTTCTCCTATGACATCCTTCATATCACTTCTTCCCTGTCCTTCCTTGTAATATTCTTCCAGCTCATAGACCATGCTGGGTTTTTCCGTTGCCCTTTGGGTGATTCTCAACTTTACTTCTTTCAAAGACTGTCATGCTCTTGACTGTTTTCATACTTTGCAGAGTCTTTCTTTTTTCACCCTTTCTCTCATTATTCATTTTACTTACATACTTGGACTTACTAGAAGAGGGAAGCACATTTTCAAGTGTGACCTTCCTCTTATTATTCTTTCTGCCTCTCAGAGCAAAAATCATGTTTCTAGATGTATACACATACATATTCATAGCTCAAAATAATTATGAACCATATGTAACCTAGGATTTAAGCTCATGGAATTTTGCTTCACTGAAAATTAAGTTTATGTTACCAGGAAGCAAAGTTAGCGAAGACCAGGATTATGTCCACTCTCAGAACTCTCTGGGCATGACAACTTTTCTTGTTTCTTTTGAAAAACATAAAATTGCTCTGAGATTTGCTGGATTGCTGCCATAGAATAAAACCACTCTTGAAGAAAGAAGGGCCAAGTAGTTCCTCCTTGGGTCTACTGGCAGCATTTAAAATGACAGGGTGGTTTAGCTTTTTTTTTTTAAACGAGTGGAGATTGATTTTGTTTCATCTGTGGTTTCTTTAAGAATCCCATGCATTTCTTGTACATTCAAAACTAGAGCATAACCACACTCACTGTCCCATATGAGGATGCTAGAGTATTAGTTGGAAGCTTCCCACTATATTTTTATGTGTTTCATAATTATGTGGGGACCCTACTTCTACAGAATTCCCACATGTAGCTTTGTGAATGTTCTGATTTGTTAGAACAATCAAATATGTAGAGAGTTGGAGAATACTCTGTTTGAATAGAATAGAGCCTAATAGTGAAGAACACTGGATTGTCAATTAGGTATCCTCGATTTTAGTTGAAACTTGGAATTCACTTGACTTTTAAATTTGCCATCTATAAGAAGGAGCAAAGTGGGTATTACAAAGGGTGCTGGGGAGTCAGGGAGTCTTGAATTCAAATTCTGCCTCAGATACTCTGGGCAAGTCACTTAGGCTTTCTTAGCCTCATTTTCCTCATCTGTAAAATGGGAGTAATAATAACGCATACCTGGTAGGGTTGTTGTGAGGATCAAATGAGGTTACACATGTAAAGCATTTTGCATGCCTTAGAGAACTGCATAAATGCTGGCTAGGTAGTCTACTTCTGGCCATCTCAAAGGAAGCTTATCAAAAAAAAATCTGTGAAAATCATTTAAATTTTATATAGTCCTTCAGAAAGTTCAAAGCATTACCACAGTTAGTAATGGGAAATTTACTTATAATAGTTAATAATATTTACAATAGTTGTCTTATAATAGTTAAATGTGGGAAAATGGCAGAGATTAGGAAATTCAGTTCTTAAAAAAAATTTTTTTAAAGTGAGAGTTTCTAAATTTCAGCCAACTAAGGATGTGCTTATAAGGAAGAGAGGAAGTTTGAGTGCCAAGGTCACTCTATGGAAGACGCCCTTGTTCTTTTTTCTCAAAATAGAAATCCAAAAAATCACTAGCTGGAGTGCTCAGAACACTCTAATGGGCCCTGATGCTTTTATGAATAGATATTGGTTGGACATTACTGAGACCTTTCTTTAGATCTCAGAATTGAGAGTTATATGTGACAAGTAAACATATCACGTGTTATTTTTAAGTTGCTAACATGCTGTCTCACATTTGTTGTGTCCTGTTCTGTAATTCAGGGGTTCTTAAGTACTTTGTGTGTCTGGACCCCTTTGGCAATCTGATGAAGCCCATGGACCCCTTCTCAGAATTATGTTTTAAAATGCATAAAACAGAATGCCTAGAACTACAAATGAAATCAGTTATTTTGAAATATATTTATAAAATTTTTTTAATGAGTTTGTGGATCCCAGGCTAAAAATCTCTCCTATAGAGGGAAATGGAA